TTCTAGTAAACAGACACTGTTCGTCTCTCACTGTTTTTCTTTTGTATTTGTTTTTTGTAGGTATGAGGACTACGTGGATCAAAAGTACAAAGAACATTTAAAAAATCAAGGGAAAGTGGACTCAGTAGGTACTTTTTTTATTAGATCTTATGCAGAGGGAAAGAGTGACAAATACAGTTTATCATTGCAGCTTGCAAGGGTTTCAAATTGAGTTTCAAAGTAACTTAAAATTTCTACTAATTTACATTTAAAATCTCTTTAATTTACAGTATATGCAATCATGGATTTAAGTCTAAATATTATTTACATGTACAGTATTACTTTAATAAAAAAATAACCAAAAGAGTGCAACTTTTGTTATACTATCTTAAGTCACATTACCTAAAACATAACAAATAACAGTATTATTTTATTGGGACATAATATGTTGTAAGTGGGGTCCCTCACTATTGATTCCTATTTCTGGACACACTTATAAACTATAGACAATGTTGTATATCACTGTATAATTATAACACAGTAGAATATAGTAAATATCTAAACAATCAAAATATAAAACAAATATCAAAACAAATTCCTTCTTTAGATTAGTAAAATGCTTTATTTGCACATATAGTAGGTGGATAGGTGTCCAAAGTCTCTTATTTATTTTAAATTCTTTCATGATTCACATTCTAAGATCTGTGTTTTTTATTCTTCAGTGTTTTTTTACCAATTCTAACACACTATTGCATGAAAAGTTACTTACAGAGGCATGAGGCCACTGTGTCTCATCGGTACAGTCTGAATTTTCTTTTTGAAACAATATTGGGACCCATGGATCAATATTCTGCAGGATTTCAACAGCAGCTGTCCTTGGCAGGGAAAAGGGAAAAAATAAGTATTCAAATTGTAAATATGCACACCTATCCCTCGATTTAAAAATACCCGATTTTGTGAATTTTCACTATACCAAATCATGCATTAATATCTATTTTTCGCATTTACAAAGAGATATTCATTACAACTGCACTGCGACATTTCCTTTGTACCTGATGATTAAAACATGACATCCCATAACACAGTTCCTCAGTGCACCTGCATTCTTAGAATGTTTTTCTCTATTTATCTTGTCTATTTATTGTAAACTAGTGTACTAGAATAAATGGGGTAATTATCATAAACAGGCAGTGGTGTTCTTACATTGACAATTCAGCTCTCGGTCAGTGTAAAATTAAGTAAGATTGGAATTTTCTAGATCTTTTAAATTAATCACAAGTAAATTCTAATATATTTCATTTTCAGCTGAAGAATTTTCATTGTATGAGCAGTTTTCAAAGAACGAAGTTCATCTGTAAATTGAGGGTTGCGTGTATTCGGTTAGGTTTTTAAGGCTAGAGCTAAATTCAGTCACTTGCACTGTAGGCCAATAATATGCTCGAGGTCAGGGCCAAAGGTATATTCTGGGAAGCAGTAACCCTAGGTCTTCCAGCTTGCTTCCACATTGCCCTCTTGTGGTGGAGGGGAGTCTCCTCATTCATTTAAATACACTGTGTCTATCCATAAATCACAAAGTTTATGCTATTATTCTTAGAAAAAAAAAAGACAAAAAATATCTATGTATTTTGTGGTGTGGAAAATGGCTATTTTTAATATTGTTGTGTGCATATGTGTGAAAAATGAGGTTTCTCTTTTAAAATTCACTGTCTGTAGTAAAAATAGGGATGAGCTTCCAAGGTAAAAGGCAGACTCTAAGGCCAGTTAGATTTTCTAACAGAACTCAGTGGTGATAGTCCTTTGCTGTCCTTATGTCAAGGGGAGGGAAAAAAGAAACCTGTGCCTTAGTTTATTCCTTGGACTGTGTACAGAGTCATTTTTTTACACTGGGCACAAACAAATGGCTAAACGGGTTCTGTGCCAGGTGGTTCTAGGAGTCAGATGGAAACTGACCACTCTGAAGACCTCCAGTGGCTGCCAGAGATTCCTGCCATAGAAACTAGCACTATGCCAAAAACATGCAGTGAAATCAGTGCAGATGTAGCCAAACCCACGTGTGCATCCTGGACAAGCCCCCAAATGTATTATGAGTTCCAGTGATACAAGCATGGAATTGCCATCACAATAAGGATATTGAGAGGATGCGGTTAGTTTCAGTGCTTTTGTTGCCCTTTGGTTATTTAAACTAACAAATTGACTTTAGTGTTACAGACAAAATAAAATAACCTCTTCTAAAACATCATCTTATTTGTAACTGAAACAAACTGAGAATAAGCATTGTTACTAGCTGTGCCACTACGTAAGACTAGCATTGCATATATTTATAGAAAACATTAAAAACACTTATCACATAGAACATATTATAGTATAATGAACTGCCAGAGTTTTGCAAGGATTTAGTGTTATTTGCAGCAGATAAATTATTACCAACCTGTAAATAAAACATATCGAGATCGTTTCAGTGCTTTTGTTGCTCCTCATTTATTTAAAGTTTATTATTATTTAAGAGTGTGACTTAGTTACTGTTCCTCTGTCTGCCCTCCTAATGGAACGTTTCCAGCCTGACTGTTGCAAATGGAAGGAAGAGCTGGACACATTCAGCATTACCATACCTTAATTCCTATTTTATTTACACCTTATGTTTGCAACTCATTGAACTCCTTTATTTAGCTGGATCATATTTTTTAAAATTATTTTATGAGACACTCTCTTTTCCCTTAGATTTTTCCCTGTAAATTTCTTAAACCCCTTGGGTTACTGTTTTTTTAGCTTTTGACTTATTCACCTTTTGGGATACATTTGTTCTCTGTTTCATGCAAAATCTGTTTAATCCATTGCAATTAATTTTCTCTGCCTCTCTCTGTCTTGATTGTTTGAAAAATAAGATCTGTTCATGCATTTCTTCTTGTAGGTATCCTGAAAAACAGCCATTAACCAAACAAGAAAACTAAGAACTTCAGAAAACAGTTGTTAACCATATCTACCATTTCAGTTTCTGCTGCTGATATTCCTGTGGGTCTTTTCTCGGTTTATTAAAGAAAGCTGAAGTCTCCCATTAAAACTACTTCTTTCTTTTGCACATAAATTCTTAATTTCATTACACAGTATAGAATTCTTATCACCATCTGCATTTTGTGGTCTACAATATAGCAGATTTCTAACACTATACCTTTGGAATGGAGTGTGACAGAAATGTGTTCAGAAGCTCTTGATTCCTCTAGTTTAGGTTCTTGAACCTGAATGCTCTTTTCAATAAATAGTGCTACAGATCTCCTCAGGCTTTTCTGTCTGTTCAGAATAGGGTTTACACACTAATCTAACATTGCTCACCATCATTTTCAGTTAGCCAGATTTCTGTAATTACATTAACATCATTATGCTACCTGCTAATGTGGTAACTTCTATCTCATCGAATTTGTTTCTGATAATCATAGCATTTACGTATACAAATTAAATGTTGCTCAGTGTTCGAAACAATGGACTGACCATCAATGGATAGCAGTGGATATGCCTTAGCTAAAACAGATGTACAATGTACAATACCTTAGACAGTGGAGTTCTGTGGTCACAAGTCAACAAAAAGTGCAGGCCTATCAAGGCCTGTCCCAGACCTAAATCCATAAAGTCACTAAGATCATTCCTTGACTGTAGGTAGTGGAGATGTTTTTACAAGGCTCTGATCTCAGAAAATACTTGTTTTACACTCGTGAAACTCTGTTTATCTGTTGTGATTTTCCAGCTTGTTGGAGTAGATGTCATGGCAGCTCTTGATATGTATGCTGAAAGAGGCCAATGGGAAAAATGCATTCAAACAGCATCTAAACAGGTACCAGCTGTCTTTATCTGTCTCCCCTCCTTCTGCTTAACTGATGAATGACTTTGCAACACTATGAAAATGAAAGGCTTGCCATTTATTTCCAAGCTGTTAGGAAGTATGTATTTTTAGGCACTAAAATGAAAATCAACATGGTAGTCAGCAAAATTTAATTTAGATAGCTTTACTAATATAACTTAATTATATATGTATACAAGATAATATAGCTTTTTTGTTCACTTAGCAAATTCTTCACATTTTAACAGCTTAGTGCCTGCATACTGTATGTAACCAAACCAACTCAAAAACTTAGACAGTAGATATCATAACTGTATTCTTAAATTAATTGACTTTTATATGTAGTTTTATATTTATTGAAAGGATACTTGGACCCTGTACATTTTATTAAGAAAACCATGTCTTATAGCGCCTTTGAATTTTTCACCTACACTGGAATATATGCTGTAGTGGTGTTGCATGAGTTACATGTCCATTTGATTAATTTCTCTTTTATAAACTGTGCTCACAGCAGTCTGTTCGGTCAGAATGCTTGAGAAATACAAGAATCTGCACCAGCCACACTTGATTTTCTTCCATCCATGTTCAACCTTTTTTAAAAAGCAGATAGATCCTTTTGAATTCATTTCTGATACTTTGCTGTGGGTACAAACAAATCTGCTCTAAAAATATCTTAATTTTGAAATATACTATATATAATGTAATACATTATATACTGTATATATAGTAAAGGCCACAAAGAAAATGTTTTACAACAGTTTAAAAGTACACACAGTGAAGTCAGAGAAGAACACATGAAATGTGGGATACATCCGATGGATTCTCACTTGATATTCAATATTATATCAATATAATACTATACCGTGGTCTAAAACAGGAACATATGCCATGTTTCATTATTATTTCTTCAGAACTTCAAGGTCCTTCACAAGTATGTTGCCCTGTATGCCACACACCTAATCAAAGAGGGGCACTCAGAGAAAGTTCTGAGCTTGTACGTTCAGCACGGGGCTCCAGCCAACCCTCAGGTATGTACAGTAGACACTTCCTTTGCATGAGGAATCACGATATGATAATATGTCTTATAGCTTTTTAAGGATACCTTTGTTAAATCCTCAACTGTCTGAAACAAAAAATAATTCAGGGTTAGGGACCAAAACATTTCTGTTTACAGCGAAACAGTGTGTTTAAGGGAAGTTTTCAAGAACAATGTAAATATGGCAGGTTAGGAACCATAAGAGTGTCAATTTTGGCCATTCGGCTTAAAGCAAGGCGGCTTTTCCCATTAGAATCGGTGGAACAGAGAAGGTTTAGAGGCCATGACTTAAACTGTTTCATTTTCAGCTACCCAAATATAGTACAGTACATTTCTGTAAATGTGCACTAACATTTTAAAGCCTTTTTACACTATCATAGCAGTGTTAAACTGACTTACTATTTTTAAGCATTAAGTGATATTTTAAGTGACATTCTCTTATCCAGACATTTTGCATGATCTTCCCTTGAGATGTGGATAGGTTTTGCTTGATTGTTGATGATGTTGAGGGAAAAGTATGACATGTCCAGTGTAGCATCCAGTATCAATGACAATGACGCTTTGGCTTCACCTTATCACTTCCAATTTAGTATCCGTGATACTGCCTTTGAGATTCTTCTTGCATTCAACACTTACACTATCACTAGAGGAACACTTGTAACTCATCGTTAAGATAAAATATGATAACTCTGTGTCACCAGTTATGCAAAACACAATACATTTTTGAAGCATCTTTAAGTGCAGGGAATTTTAACATTACTTTCCCAAAATGACAAAAGTGCAAGGAGTTTGTATGTTGCAGTCCCAATATCTTGACGACGTTAGTGCAGGGAAACATATATGGAAGTGACTTATAACAGGGACCAACTACATGTCATCCATATACTGTAGCACCAAGTGTTGCCATGCAGAAGCTAGTATTTATTGTTTAAAGTACGTGTTTACAGTGTCTTCTAGCAGTTTTTTGTCGATTTATGATAACAGTCTTAATTCGTGAAGTTCTTTCTACAAGTTGTTAAAACCAATCCATGTTCTCTATAACACTTTAACTAAAAATAGAAATAGAAATAACTTTAACTTGAGGCCTACTTTTGTCTCATCCCAAATTATGAGGTACTGTACAATTATTTACAGTACTAGGTTTGTGTTACCAGGTACTGCATTTAGAATTTGTGATTGTTTAGTAATGGCTGCTGCACAGTGATATTTTGTGGTTTTGGTAAGATTCTGGGAAGAAATCATTAAACTTTAAAGAAGGCAGATTAACGCAATAGACTACAAGATTTAAAGGATGTAGTATTATGTTTCTTTCCACAGCATGGTAAATTTGCCTTTTCATTTTTTACATTTGAAGAAATTATGTAACTTGTTTACTTGTAGAAAATGAACTTGACTAGTTAAAAGCATATTATTACTGTACTACAAAGAAATAAAACAACAATGTCTCCAATGTTTATGTGTATTGCTGTTATTATCTTAAGACAGTTAAGAAGAATGTCCCAGTTTTGTCTGTCTTTGATATGTAATTTGATTTTATGTAATACCCACTTTGCAAAATAATTAACCTTGGACTGTTATGTCTTATTTTTCATGATATTCATCTGGCCTGTACATATTTTGAAATGAAAAAAACATGTTTTGGTCGATCTTTACTACCCACCCTTCTTCTGGCACCAATTAAATCCCTTTAGTTTGATATTTGTTCCCATGTCCCAGTCTCCAGTTTTTTTTCTGGGGGCTGTGTAGATGCTAGACACTAGCATTGTATCTCTGAAATATAATTGTGAAGTCCTTTGTATTATTCCCCGGGCTGCTCTGTACTTTCTACGTATGGTGTATACATAATATTTAACTCCATATTTTATTATCTTTCTTATGTAACATAACTCTGTAAAGTACTTTTCAGTTTTGTTATATAACATAAAAATGGATTTTCCTCTTTCCTCAGCTTTGACAAATCCCTTCATGAGCCATATTACTAAGCTTGGCAAATATTTATCTATACAGAATGAGTAAGAAGAGAACCTCGATCACTACACTAGAACAGTGTTTCTTAGACCAGGGAGCAGCTGTCTGTAGCGCAAAGCAAGATTACAATAATCTGTAAAGTTACTTAAGAATATGGCAGGGGATCGGTCAGTACTGCTCCAAGGGGGGGTTCTTGGTAGGGGGTGGAAAAACATGGCTCTAGAATAGGAGAAAAGTACGAAATCATCTAGACAAAGAAAGATATGGTCTGAAGTGCTCCTTGCTTTTTTTTGTCAGAATTTTAACATCTACAAACGGATGTTCTTGGACTTGTTGAACATGGTGGGAACAGACAGTGCAGAAGCATATCGCATGTGGGCAGATCTGAGAGACATGATGTTCATTCTGGTGAGTACAGCCGGGGACAGATGGAGTATGGCGGATGGGAGCAGCCAAACTCTTAGTGGTAAACATTAGGAAGAAGTGAAGACGAAACTCCTCCAGCTCTTGAGTACCGCACCTTCTTGACATCTCCTCGACATGCCACATGTTGGAATGCCTGCAGTTTCGCTTGGTGTCACAGCTGCCCGCATTACTTGTGTATTTTTCCTCACGCTGATGCTGACACATAAAAGTGCGATACTGAGAGAAGTGTGTGTTTCTACCTAGTGTGAGAATATGGTGAAATCTGCTGAAGCCAACTCCCCTGCCCATGAAGAGTTTGAGCAGATGCTACTGATTGCACACTACTATGCCACCCGCTCAGCAGCAAAAGGAGTAGACCAGCTGGTACGGATATTTAAAGATACTGTTGTTTCCCTTGCGCCACTCTAAATTAGCTTTCTTTACATTTTCAGTATATTTCTTCGAGGAATAGTTTTCTTCTTCTTTTTGTTAATGCAAGGATGACACTTCTGGCATAACCCTTGACCCCTTAATAAAATATGATACAATAATTTTGTTTGGCATTTTCCTATAATGTAATGAGTCACTTATTACTGGAAAGACTTAAGTTGTCAGATTGTTAACTGTGGAAGGAAACAGTACTAGAATGTTAACTTGTCCCTACACTAATACTTATTTTTGGATGTGGCTGGCTTCAATGTGGTGAAAGCAAATTCATAAACAAAAAACTAAAATTAAACCTAAAAAAAAATCAAGTTGTACAAGTTTCCAACAATACTGATTGATTGCAAATTATCCATGCTGCTCCCTGAGGGAAAAAAATCTTATGAACAGACAAACTTCACACTTGCATAAGTCTTTAAGTGGTATTTAGGGAAACAAAGTATTGTATTTTGTTTTATTTTTTATGTAAAAAAGGGAGTGAGGTTTTGAGCAGTGACATTTCTGAATGTGGCATACCATTATAAGAAGTATGACCCTTTTGGTGTGAAAATGTATTTCTGATTGATTATCATGTTAATTTATGCTAACATTTTTCCCTGTTTTCAGAACACAGTGGCTGCAAAGCTTTCCATTTCTTTACTGCGGCACACCGAGCTTATTCCAGCAGATAAGGCCTTTTATGAGGCAGGACTTGCTGCTAAGGTAAGGGAACTGCAGTGCAAACATCAGGAAGCATTCTATCAGTATAAAATAGCATTATAGCTTCACTGGTTTATGTGTAAGAAAAATAAACTCTTGGTCTGTTATTTTATATCTCAAATCTTTTCCAGTGAGGGAACTAGGCAGTGGAGTTTACTTTAGTAATAATACTGCAGCTCTGCCTGTTAGCTGTTTCTGTCAGCCCTGTCTCAATAAATTAATATAATTTCCATTTGTACACTATCATTAGACGTGGCACAATAATTTATAAACTGAATAAGTTTTTAAGGAAAACTCATTACACAAAATATGGATGTTTCCTCTGGGCAAACCTTTGGCAATGCGTTGTTGATAAGCCAGCAACCCAACTGCACAGCTAATGAGGTTGAGAAGTGAGAAATCGCTATTCCAATTCAATTAAGGGAGAACATCAGGGAGGGCAGAGAAGGCCAGAGTAGAATTTATATAGGCATCTAGGGTTCACACCTCTCCTGTTATGAACAGTGCCATTGGATCTTCAATGAATAAGTAGCCAGTGTTACAGTTTAACGTCTCATCCTAAGGTTGGCAACTCTATACTATCCCTTGTCACCATAATGGGGCATTGATTTGAAAATTCTTGTCCCGAAGGAAGGGTACCAGCATTTGTTAACACTATTTACTATACAGTTGCAACCTGTTTTTTTTGGAGATCTCCCTCCCCAGTACTGACCAGACCCAGTCTTGCTTTGCTTCTGAGAGCTGACAGAATTATGCTACGAGGTAGCAACACTTCTCCTAAATAAAATATCAGATTTTAAGTGTCCGTCTTAAAGTATTATGTCTTTATTTTTGGCACAGAAGAGCACCCTAAGTATCAGTACTCTTATATATCTTATGCTCTTATACTTTAAAAACTATGAAGGTTGTATTTCATACATCAAACTAGGTGAAAGTATTGGAATGCAGAAAGCTGTGGATTTTCTCATTATAATATGTAGTTGGATTCAGCATAGGTATAATTGAATGAGTTTCCCAATCTTTGCAATAAGAGCTACAGTAGTTTCCCCATGTGCCTTGCTGTTTTTTTCACCAGCTGTTGATAATGGTTTTGCAAATCTTTTCATTCTTTAACTGACTGTTCTGCCTTAGTGTTAAATGTAAGCTAAACACAATTGGAGTTATTACAGAGTTCCATCTTAAAAAAAGGGATGACTCTAAAAAAGCTGAAAATTGAGTTATTTATATTTGGTTTTACACAAACCACAGCTCTGCACTTTCTCAGTGTTCACCTGAAGTATTTAGAATTTTATTTGTACAGCTTTCGGAACAAAATAATTACTGAAATAATGGTGGTTATTCTTGTAAAGAAGGTCAGGTATCTCGACTTCTCAACTAAAGGTACAGCTTATTTTGCTTGTTTTTTGACAGGAAGTCAACTGGGAGAATATGGCTTTCATTTTTCTGAATCGCTTTCTGGATCTAAGTGATGTAAGTAAAAAGTTTCATTTGTGTTTCAAAGCTGGAAACACTGTGTGCTGTCAGCTACAAGTTGCTGTCGATTCAGGGCTGCAAATACATGCAATGCAGCTGACACACTCATTAAGCAGAATGCTACAGTATATCAAGTAGCAGTTGTACCTTCTGTTGGACTTTATGATTATTAGCAAATCGTTGGCCTTAAGACCATCTCTTAAGTGTTCAGTGGTTAAAGTCAAATGAATTTGGATTTGGAGCAGATTGTGGAGATTGTAATTTGTTTCATCTTGAAAAGTGCCAGTGAATTCTCATGGACCAACAGAACGTGGAACTGTACTGAAAAAAGTAAGACATTGCATGATAGCTGGTCACTTAGTTCCTTTGACTTTTTTAAAATAATCCTCAGTATTTTGTTTAGTGTGGCCACATATTCTCAGCAAAAATAATGTTTCAATTTGGTCTCCTTTGCCTTGGCTGATGTATGGCAGAGAGTTTGTGAAATGCAATATCAAAACAGTGGTACTCCTGTTAGATATGATGTTTCCACAATATACAGAGAACAACTGGAAATAAAAGTAGTGTGTTGGCTCTAACTCCTTAAATAAATTCATGAATAGGCTTCAATAGCAGCCAACATTTTTTTAAGATAAAATTTCTGGTGTAGTAATGAGTACTTTTTCTGTTAAGGGCTGATTTGTGTTGTTCATTTTTCAAACATTTTGTTCCTGATGCATATATTCTAAGTGATAGTCTGATACTGTTACTGCATGCTGTTGAATTGCCACTTGCCTTACTGATTAGATACTGTAACACAAATTGCTGTTGATATGACTTTTCAAAGGTGAAAAAATAGCATGAGGAACCATATCAGCTGTGCGCTGTCTTAAATACATACTGCTTTTCGCAATTTCTAATACAGTTTGTACACTGATATTCCCATCTACTAAAAAGTGATATAACTATAACTGTGAAATACCTATGTATTTGCCATGTGTTGTTTACAGCAGATTTATTCTTATTGGGTTAGAAGCCAAACATATTATTCAGATACCTGACGTTAGTCTGTTTTGTGACCAAGACTTTAATTTATTGAAAGAAAAAACATGAAAAAGTCTGTTTTGTAATCATGTAAACAGATAGTTTGTCTTACTCTAAGCTGAGTAAAACAATGTGAAATTTCTTGAAACCCCATAATCGAAAAAAAAATTGAATATATTGTAAACAGCTAGTATTCCCTTGCTACTCTGAATATACAGTAACTGTATATTCCAATAAATTTGAACATTTGTGAAAAACTTCTATTGCAGACTCATATAACATTCTTAGAGTAATTGCAATGAATGAAACAGGCATTTATGCAGAGGTATGTAAATGTGTATCTGTGTTAATGAAGCCCTGATTCATTTGTAATGTTTGTAATTTCACAGGGAATTGATGAAGGCAATCTGGATGCTCTTGATCACACAGATTTTCAGGACACTGATATTCCTTTTGAGGTCCCCCTGCCTGAAAAACAGCATGTTACCGTAAGATTAATTTAAAGCCATTTTGAATTCTTTCTTTTTTATAAGTAGTTATAAGTAGCATATAAGTAGAATTTTACTCCTACTATTTAAATCTCACCGATTTATGCTGATATATACATATGTATGCATGTTTTGTAGCATGGCAGTGTTTCTTGTTCTAATTACGGGAAAGTCACAGCACTGTAGGTTTCATAGATAAGATCCTCAGTGACATGAGATTTGGAAATATGGGTAATTTAGGCCAATTACTATATATAAATAATTCAAAGAATTTATTAAAGGCTGTAATGGATTGAAAATCTTAGGTTCCTGTGACTCCATGAACAAGAGTATATATTATGATATACTTTAGTGGTAATACAGCCAAGCGAGTTAAAAGCCATTTAGATATGACTACTGACAATATCGTGAAATCTTATAAAAGATGAAAGACAGAGTCAATGGTCAGTTTATTTAATGTCCATTCATATCCTACATAGTAGGCGATAGGAATAATGTGTTTTCTTTGGTTGTACAAATGGCATCTCGTGGTAACAGGAGGACAAGCGAGAGGAGATCCGAGACTGGGTGCTGACTGTTTCCATGGACCAGCGAGTGGAACAGGTTCTACCAAAAGATGAGAGAGACACATATGAGGCCTCTCTGATAGCTGTGAACACTGGCATTCACTCTCTCCCCTGTCTAATTACTGGTGAGAACGCCAAATGAAAATCTTTATTAAATCTTAAGGAGGACATCTGCAAGATAGCTGAACATGTTACTTTGCTTCTGCTTCACTTTTTTTTACTTTGGGTATTCTTCTTCAGCTGCACAGCGATCGAATAATGGTTTCACTGTGTTGCAATGCCTGCTGCTCCTCTGTTGTTCTTAGTCCTGGCGATCGACTCATGTTTAAGGATCTGCAGTGTAACCTGTGATTGTAGGGTTGAATACACACCTTGATCAAGGGCTATATACAGTGGAGCCACAAATCAACTGGAGATTAAATTAACTATCATATTAAAAGATGTTTTCATAAAACAAAATTCATTGAACTGATGTTCCATCCAGGATTTACATGATACTGCTCTCACTTGTTCCCAATGAATAGCTTAATAGAAATGTTAAGTTTAAGAAGGGCATATGTTGTGAAGTTTAAGAGGAAAGCTTCTGAAATTCACTCTATTTAATGAGAGTTACAAGACCTTTATTATTTTAAAAATCTTTTTATTTTATTCACTTCAGGCTATCCAGTACTCAGAAATAAAATTGAGTTCAAAAGACCTGGAAAGGCAGCAAACAAAGATTACTGGAATAAATTCCTTATGGCTACAAAGGTAAGATGTAATTTCTCAGTCCTTGAATTTTACTTGTGTATTTAACACATTATAAAAGATTCTTGTAGTGGTATTAAAAAGGCTGTATTGCTGCTGAAATTGTTGTTTGAAATGTTAATAACATTTTTTAGGAACTGGTACTGAAAGAATGAAAACATCTTTCGTTTGGAAGTTATGTGTACAGAGGTATAAAAATGACGTTGCCAGGAAGAAATCATCAGTTTCCCTGTTGTTCACCCTTACAGGTTGTTGCATCATATTAGTAATGAATTTCAAAAAGTAGATGGGGCCTTGATAGCTGGTGATTAGGGAATAGATCAGTTCCTCAGGTCTGGAGCACTTGTGCAAACTTTGCCTTAGTTTCTTAATTTAAAGAATAATCAAACATAAGAGCTTGAAAGCTATCCCAAAACATGTTATAACACTTGTTTTTTTTTCCACTCCTGTAAGCATTCTGCTGTTGCAAAAAAACATTGTGATGAGGCGATAAGAGTTTTGTTTGCCTAAACAGCAGCAAATTTTCTAGGCCACTTGTCACTGTGTTATGCATCTGATGTTTTTGTGAAGTTGTTAACGTATCATGCGTCACTGTTCATTTGCGGTTTTTTTCCTGACTGCTTTATAGACAACTCACAGTCCCGAGTGCCAGGATGTTCTGAAGTTCATCAGTCAGTGGTGTGGAGGACTCCCTGCTGCTGGCTTCTCATTTCACTGAGTCTCTAACAAAGCTGGGGCACTTGACAAGCCTTCTCTGCACTGCCCCCTCTTGTACCAATTTATAATAAAAACTCTTTAAGAGAACATCTCTTTCAAGTCACAATCTCACTACTAAGGAACCTATAAAAAGAGGAAGACTTTCAGACAGGAGGGTTGGGGGGGGGAGAGTTTCTTCCTGGATTTGTAATCTTTTGCTGTTTTGAATAGTTCATAAACTGGAGTTCATGAAAGCTACCTGTCAGCTTTTGTTTTCCACCTGTTATCTTCTAACATTCATTAAGCGCAAGAGTAGCAATGATCTCATCTTGGCTTAACACACGTTTCGGATCTCTGCAACAACTTGAGACTAAATCTCACAATTTAGTCTCTTAGGCACGGTCTCTGTTAATTATTATACCTGTCCTGGGCCCTTATCCAGTCATTCACAGCCCAGATCAGCGAAGTGTTAGGGTGAAAAGTGTTGTTTCAGGTACTTTTTTTGCAGAATGCCGACAATGCCAATCTGTTATCAAGTCCTAGATAAAATGACCATAGAGAATCTGCCCTTCATCACCTACCTACATGTTGTTGTTTTTTTAGCTAATTAAAAAAAATTAAGAAGCTGAAGGGTTAGTTACATAACAAAGAGCTGAAGTAGCTAATCAGGCTTTGTCCCCTTGGCAATACATTCAAGCCAAAAAAAGGGGTTTGTGTTGATCTGGTAGAAGAGTTGGGAGTACACCATGTATTTTGGTTAATAATCATCTTTTCACTTCAGTCAAAACGAATAGAAAATCTGCGTAGAGTGAGCCCTATAAAGCACAACATATCTGCTTTATTTTGAATGTATTTAATGACACAGCACAATAAAAGTTGCACAGGCATATGCTTTAAAATAAATTTAGTATTTTTTATAGTATTTTACTGTAAAATTATTTTGGGGGTGTATTTAATGTATGAAATAAAATATAAGTTTATTAAATCACAATACGTACAAATGAATTGTGTCTGTATATTTAGTTTCTCCAATATAAATAATTGTACCACCAATAGGCACAATGAAGAGTTACAAAATATTATTTAAAATTTCTTGGTACTGTTTTTATGTCCTTGTGTATGTTTACCGCAGCGGAAATGTGATGGACTGGAGATGTCTGATTACTAATAGCCAGCAATGAGCCAGACCATTAACATCTTATTAGCTTCTTATCTTCTGTTTTTTTTTTCTTGAATCACAGTATTACTGCAAGCAAAAAGCAATGAAAAAATGATGTACCTTTTGTGTGTGGATTATTCCTATTCTGGTATTTCAGTTTGATATAAGGTATTGCCTCTTTACCATTAGACATTTTTATGGACATGTATCCGATGAAGTGAATTTGGATCAGTAATCACAGAGTCTCACAATTTCTGCTTCAGGAAATAATTCCTGAAGCTCTATTCTCATATGATGTTAGTTTCCTTATTTTAAGAAACTGAAAATGTGTCCCTAAACAAAAGATGCATTTCTATTCATTTTTCTAAGTATTTCAGCTGTTACAGTAAACTTTGGGCTCTTGAGCTTTGAATATGTAACTTTTGTTTTTCTTAGTGGTGCCCTGAGAAACACAAACTGTTGCAGAAATTCTATTCAATTCATGTATCAATGCTATGTTGTATCTAATAATTTTAGGGTCAAAGGACATCTGCTATGTTGTATCTAATAATTTTAGGGTCAAAGGACATCCAGCTTATTCATGGTCATATTGTGTTAACAATTAACAACATTTCAGTAATTAAGTATAGCATTGCTGTGGAGTAGACTTTTCAGAAGTTTTCAGTTCTAACTTAATAAGTTGTCAAAACTATTGTAATACTTTACAAAAAAGCTATTGAAAATTAACCCAGCACCAGTGATTAGGGCTCTGGACTTTTGCTGTAAAATTCTGGGTCCCTTAAGTAAGGTTTTTGGCCTGAGTGTTCCAACAAAAAGCCAAGCTATATAAATGGGTACAAATGTAATTCCTTCCATTTCTAACAACTTCTTCCAATTTGGGGTCATTGGGGAGCTGGAGCATATCTCAGCAAGCAAGACGAGCAAGATACACCCTGGACAGGATATCACTCTAACACATGGCACACACAGACACAAAGACACATAAACTGACACCAGGGTCTATTTCACAGAAGAACAAGTAAAGGTTTATTCCATGCTGAAAAGAGAAGTACACAATATTTCGGCTGTGGAGCCTTCTACAAGTGTCAAGGCTCCGCAGCCAAAATATTGTGTTTCTTTTCTTTTCAGCATGGAATAAACCTTTACTTGTTCTTCTGCAGCCTAAACATGCTAAAACATGCTGTCACAGCTACCTACTTCAAAACTTTTACAGAAGTTAACCTACAACTAAGTATTTGGAAAATGGCAGAAAACTGGAGCACCCAGAGGAAACCCACATAATCACAGGGAGAACATACAAAGTCCACACAGATAACACCCCAAGTCTGGAATTGAACACAGGGCCACAGTGCTGCAAATCAGCACTGTTCTCCTCTGCTCCACCGTGTCTCCTCAAATGTAGAGTAAGGTGCTGTGCATAAGTGCCAACCCAATACGTTAATCATAACACCTTTAAAAAAATGGCAAAGAAATCAGCAAACGGGTTTCCTCGGTTTTTAGAAGGTATTGTAAAAGCAGAAGGATCAACATAGGAAAGTACTATCAACTACATCCTCTAGGAAGATACCATTCTAATGAGGAAATAAAAGTTAATTCTGTTTTGGAGACTACTGATGCTCTCCTGAAGTTTCATTAGCCTTTTGTGTTGTGTTTTTCTTCTGTAACTCTTTCCTCACCTATGGAACATATATTGGAGGAGATCGCTGGAGCCACATGAGATGTACATTAATTCCTAAAGACATGGCTTCCGGTTATTTGTGTCTTAATATGCTGTTGAATTGTTAAGAGTCCTCTTGCCAAGTGTTTTCCACATCGGCATTTTCCTAAATCATACTCTTTTGCTCCTCCTTTTCACTGTTGGTTAGAGTGGTAGTTTACATAATATAATAATGATTCTCAAAGGCAGCCATGACGAAAGTCTTGAGGAAATGAGCTCTTGCACCGGGCTCTGGTTTGACAAAGTGCTCTTAAACCTGTGCAACACAGATTTACAGTACGTCATCTGCACATTACTTCAGATTCATTCTTAAGGTATCTTTTAGATTGTAGTCCCTTGCAAACATATTCAGACTCTTCCTATGGTGTCCCATTTTGTGAAATAAGAGAAGAGATATGCACACATCTTTTTAGACTTAATATTTTCAAAATCTGAATGCTCAAATTGATGACTTCTATTGGCAAAATAGGTTTGCACACTGGCTTGATTCAGTTTTTACCCATTCTTGGCAGATGTGCTCAAGCTCTCTTACAATAAGTTGCTTGGGGATTGCTTATTAACAGTAGTTTACAAGATTTTTAAGAATATCAATAGGACTCAAAATGGAACTGACTGAGACACTCACTTTCTTATTCTTAAGCCATTCTAAGTGTAGTTTTTGATCATTATCCTGCTGAAAGGTATATTTTTTTGTCTCAGTCCTGGGTTTGTAAAAGTTTTCCAGCAGGATTTGTCAGTACAGTGCTCTGTCTTTGCCTTAAAATCTTCCCAGTTCCTGCTGATGAGAAGCAGAACTATAACATAATGTTGCCACCACCATGCTTGACAGTAGCAGTGTTGACTGAGTGATGCACTACTTAGGATTGGCATCAGATGTAATGCTTTGAATTGTGACAAAAGACTTTGTCTTGTCTGACCACAAAACCTTTTAAGGCATTTGCAGTAAAACTTGGGTTATAAACCCCATGCAGGATCTGAGATGTTTTTACAGTTATAAAGAAGCCCCATTTTTGGAGTGAGCCTTGTTGACCCATCTGAGCAACAAAACTCAGCATCTCCACTGTCCCCACAGTGGCATACCTAACCAGTTTCCTCCTTACCTGGCTACTCAGTTTGAAAGGACTGCCTGATTTAGGCAGCTTCTGAATGCATTCCACTTCTTGTTGTTTGACTTCACCACAGTCAAAGCAGATATGAAGGGCCTCAAATATTGTTTTCAACCTGCCACCTTATCTGTACTTCTTACTTTTTTGTTTTGTGCTGTGAATGTGTGTAGGTTGAGTACGTAACAAATATCAATTGCTACTTCAAAGTGTCATGTCAGTAGGATGTTAAACTGTTATTAGAGTGTTCTCACCAGTCCTAGCATTTGAAAACGAGGAGATTATGCATATACAGTATGTAATGTGTTGATAAGAATTACAGCTGCACTTTAGATTAATGACTTAGGTGCTATTTATTCCAGTAGCATTAACCAAATTGTTTGATTTAACCTGCTATTGCTGCTGCACTAAAGCAGAATCGTTCATCTGCTGTCTTGAATGAGTCAGTGCAAACATGACAGTGCAGAGGAGACACAGAAAACGATGTGTGTGCAAGTGACAATTAGAAGTTCCATTTTAAATAGATGGTAGCAATCAGGTTGCTTTGATTGCAGTGCTGTGAGTTTGATGAAGAAGACAGTACAATGGTTATGGATTGCTTCAAAACACGAGCTCCTTCGTTCCTGTGAGAACAATCATTATGCATTGTTTCAGCGCTGACCTATCAAAGTAAAGTCTCTCGTGCTCTGTCTTTTAAGAAATCATGTATTGTTCAATTAAATTGCAGCTGGTGACCAACAGTTTCTATTTCTGTCAATTCCTAAAAAAAAACAATTGATAATGGATTATAGTCTGTATCAAATGAAAAGATGACAATAGTAGCCTCTATGGGACAGAGTGATACAGTATTTAAAGCTCTGTCTCCACATCCCCTTGACGATACCAGTGACTGACCTGGTAGTCAGTCTTGCCAGAGATTTCTCAAGATTAGGAACTGAAGGCCTGCCAGGGGGATAATTGGATAGTGTAAACTAAATAATGGAATTTTCATCCTTTTAAAATCAACAGCAAAGACAATATGGAAAATCGACCTACAGTATTAAGGTTGACAACACAGGCTGGCAAATTCAAGTTTTGTTTGCAAAAAAATAGAAGCATATTACCCATTATCTTCTGATTAATGGCTTTAAAGGAGACATTTATTGTTTCTCGTTGCAGTACCTCTTCTTTTTTGCCTTTTTGCTTTTTTCTTGCTTGCTTTCTGTCTGACAGCTTATAATGGGAATGTGTTTTCTGGTTCAATTTTTAGGCACTTCTTAATCCAGAGGGTTGTGG